ATAATAGGCAAAGATTGTTGCATGTCTATTAACAGGGCACCTCCTTTGCATCTAATTTCCATTAGGACTGTGGAGTAATTCAGATTCAAAGAGAAAAAAGTGAGGGGAGACAGACCTAACAGTGGTCATCATTACTTTAAATCAAATTTGTCTTTTCTTAGCACCACATGAGCAGAGGAAAAACACATCACTTCTTTAAAGAATTGCTAGCAGGTGTAAGGTGAAATGCCCCTGTGCATCCAAACCATCTTTTTCCCTTTGAATCTGGGTCACTGCATACTCCTAGTAACCACAGATCATGGCGTAACATGTTCATACGAAGAATTATGTTCATGCATACATCTGGGAGGATTGGCGTGATATATGTTCAGAATTTACTATCAGGACTAATAAAAATCCATGAGGCAAAACATCAAACATCAATTTTGAATATTTACAGTATTTAAATAAGGATATTGTCAATAGTAGCCAGGAGAGATTTTAATCTATTTCTAATCTACTGATTTGAATAGAAATGAGCAGGCAAGCAGAGGAAACTAACAGGACCTTGGTAACAGAGTTCAGTTAAATGAATAACAATAACAAAATAACATTAAAAGTTGTATTTTGAACTGTGGGAAGTCAGCCAAATATTTTTGGAAATATTTAAAAGACAGAATATATTTCCCTAAAGGATTTAAAGGCAGAAACCAACCCCACCCCCAAGTCTCTTTGTCCCAAACAGAAACCAAGTCTGCAGAATTGCAGATGTGATAATCTTGTCAGAAAGACTGGAGTCAGGAAACAGGGATTAGGAAGAAAGATCCCTAGAATCAACAACTCCTCACACCAAACATCTAAGAGTCATCAGCCCCAGCCCCAGGGAAGCAGGATATGACCTTTGGGACATAATAGGATTAACCCACCACCATCAGAATACCAGAAAGGCACACTCAGACTCAGGTCAAAGTTCATGCCACAGGAACAACTCCAAACACAAGGCTCAAGAAGGTATAAAAACCCACTCCCTTCATGTGCTCGCTCTCTTTTCTTCCTGTCTGGCTCTCCTGTCTGGCTCTTCTTCCATCTTCCTGTCTGGCCATCTTCCTGTCTGGCTCTCCTCTTCAATAAACTGCAACCTTCTTTCTAAAGCAGTCACCATGTTGTTTATTCCCGGCTTGGACTTAACCATGATGAAGACTTTTCCTTCAAAAGAAGCATTGTGGGCTCAATCGTGAACAGCTGATCCTATGCATTACCAGGGAAGTGTCCTCCAGGAAGCAAACGAAGAGACAGAACCAAAAACAGCTTGGAAATAAGGATCAAGGGAAATATCCCTAACAATTTTTTTCTTTGAAATCATTGTTTCTCAAACTTGCCAACTTAAGGATCTTGTGGGCTGCTTCAACCCTCAGAATTCCCTAGCCAGCCTGCCTGCTTCATACATTTTCAAGTTGCCAAGGTTGAGAACCACTGCTCTAAATTAATAGTATGTGCAGTTTACTTAGGGGCCTGAGCAAGTGAAATAAAAGGCTATGTTTGAAGAAAGAATTACATATGAATAGAGTTAGTTATCTTAAGGCAGGTTTATATTCCTGCCTGAAAACAATTGTCCTATATTTGCACAATGTGCAACCTTGTAGTAGGCTTAATGAGAAAGTCAAGGACTGAAGCAGTGAGAAACTACATTTCAACTCATAAGATATTTGTCAAGGGTAACAACCCATGGCTAATGGGCTACATGCAGCTCCAGGATCATGGTGCCAATGTTACAAACTCTGGCAATCCAGCTGTTATTGCTCCAAAGCTCCTTTTCTGAATTACTTCCTAAGTGCTGTACAGTCCTAATGAAGGATAGCATTCTATTAATACTAAGAGTAATAGAATTTCAATATGATCAAGAGTTTCTAAAATAATGTACTAAAAACACAAATACAAACAATTCTGGTGGGGAAAAAAAGCAAAAGAAAGCACTGTAGCGCAGATCGTTCATGAACACGTTAAAACAAAAATTGACAAGCCACCATAATATATCCAGATAGAAGCGGAGATATATCAGAACAAGGCTAAAATCCAGAATAAACTGAAAGTGCTGAAGATGATAAGTAAAAAGGTTTCTTCAGGTACATGAAAAATAAAGGAAGAAAAAAGAATTAGCTTACCAGAAGCTCAGTGAAGATGGCAAAACGCTAGTAGCCAACAAAGACACTGAAATACAGTATTTTACTCCTATTCAATGCCCAAGAGGATATGTCTTCCCCCAGAGACCAAGACATGGAATCACTGACAATAATTGAAAGGTAGATTTTAGCTACATGTGAGTGGGGAAAATATTTCTCAAATGAGACCAATTGATAGACGCAATCACTCCCTGTATTTCCTCAGCCCTAATCTTTTCTCTTAACTGGGCTTGTTTCAAATTTTTGAGGAGGATGGAAAATAAAATAGATTACCAAAGAACAGAGTTGAATTGCTAGATAGCTACCTTACCAGCTGTTGATCCACATTCCCTTGTTTTTTTCATACTCTGCCATACTGCCCAGAAATAGAATAGAGCTTGGAGGTCTTCTAGTCCAGCCCCCTGCTCAAGCAGGAGAACTTATACCATCTCAGACAAGTGACTCTCTAGCCTCTTCTTAAAAATCTCCAGTGATGAAGTGCCCATGATTTCTGGAGGCAACCTGTTCCACTGGTTAATTGTCCTCACTGTCAGGAAGTTTCTCCTTAATTCCAGATTGCTTCTCTCTTTGATCAGTTTCCAACCATTGTTTCTTGTCCTGCCCTCTGGTGCTTTGGTGAATAACGTGACCCCCTCTTCTTTGTGGCAGCCCCTCAAATACTGGAATACTGCTATCATGTCTCCCCTATTTCTTCTTTTCTTTAGACTAGCCAAACCCAAGTCCTGCAGCCATTCTTCATATGTTTTAGTCTCCAGGCCTTTGATCATGTTAGTTGCTCTTCTCTGAATTTTTTCCAAACTCTCAACATCTTTGTTGTAATATGATGACCAAAATTGGCTGCAGTATTCCAGGTGTGGTCTTACTAGGGTTTTATAAAGCGGTACTAATACTTTACGTGATCTTGATTCTATGCCTGTTTATACAACCCAGGATTGTATAGGCTTTTTTGGCTGCTGCTGCACACTGCTGGCTCATATTCAAGTTATCATCCACTAGGACTCCAAGATCCCTCTCACAGTTACTGTTTTTAAGCCAGGTACTGTAAAATATCTCAGCAATTTCCAGAGATCAAACAACTATTCTACAGGTAAAGGTGGAAAAGCATCAACAACCATCATCAACAACCATTTTTAACCTCAGTCATCTCCCTGGAGAGAACGTTTCCTAATAGACAGATGGGTTTGGCTAGGTCAGTGGTTCTCAACCTTTTTAATGCCGTGACCCCAACTGGTCGTAAGTCGAGGACTAAACCAGTCATAAGTCGAGGACTACCCAACAGGTTGTAAGTTGAGGACTTTCCCTGCCCGGGAGCGCCGCACATGCGTGGTTCCACCCCCTGCGCCGGCCGAGGCGTAGCTGGCAAGCGGCAGAGACGGAGGAGGCCGACCACCAGCTGGCTCAGCCCAAGGGAGGTAAGGCACCCGCTGGAAAAGGGGGGAAAATGGCGGACAAAAAAAAATGGCGGACAGCCTTGCTTGGCGACCCCCATGAAATGGTCAATCGACCCCAAATGGGGTCCCGACCCACAGGTTGAGAACCACTGGGCTAGGTGGAGCGAGGCACGGGTCTGCAAATAAGTTGCCAGGTGACTGAGTAAAGCTCTCCTCTTGAGCAAGAGATAGAAGCATTTCCCCATCTACCAGTTTCCATCGTGGTGTATATAGTTGAGAATAAATGTTTTACCATTATCTCTTATTTTCTCTCTCCTTCTATACAGAATTCAGCATGGGCCTGGGCCTACAGAACTGAATCTTATGATATCATACTTCTGAAAGTAATAATCATGCTGGGACAAGAGCAAACAAGAGGCCTTCCTAGCTAAATCCTGAAATGCTCATTTTCCTTAACCCATTACCAAAGGAAGGCAATTGCTCCTCCCTTTTGCAGTCTCTCTCTCTCCCTCTTTCCCTTCTCTCTCCCCCTTTCCCCTCTCCCTCTCCGGGAAATGTGGCCCATAGGGTCTTTGGATCAGATGCCCAGCAACAGTAGGGATCCTAATACAGTGGGGTGTCCAGGGGGAGAGGGGTGGGTCCCAACCTGAGTTAAACCCCTGCCCATTTTTTCACCTGCACCGTGACACTTCGCACACCCTCCCCTAGGACGGGTGTCGCATTTTGCAGATCAGGCAATCCTTTCCGGGGTAGGAGGAGGGGTGACATCGGTGGGCGACGATTTTGCAAATCGGTCCGCCACTCCCAGCTCTGCAAGTAGGCCACCAGAAACCCCCCCCCCCATCCTAACCGAAGCCCCCCCATCCACTCTCCCTCTCAACTTCCCGAACTGCGCAGTTCCTCGGGCTGCGGCATCCAAAGACGGGACGCCGAAGTTCTATTCCCAGGCGGCAAGCTCCCCCCCCCCACCCCCGTCCTCCACCACCACCATCCCAGCTGGCTCCGCCATTCGCTCCTTTTGGGAAGCCCGGGCACGAGAACCAGGGGGAGGCCGATCCACGGTGAGAGGACGTCAACGAGGCCGCCGCGTGCCTGCTCCGGGCAGGAGGCGCCGTCTGCGCGCGTCCTCTCTCGCGCTCCCGCCTGCCGCCGGGAGATGCTCGCAGGGAAGCGCGGTTGCTGGGCGACCGCAAGGCTGCGGCCGGCCAGACAGCCGGGAGAAACCTGCTACCGAGCTCGCCCTCGTCGCCCCCCTCCACGCCTGCCCGCCCGCCCGCCTGCCGGGTGCGGCGTCTTCCTCCCCCGCCCCGCGGGTCACGCCCTCTCTGGCTGCCGACGCCTCGGGAGACCGGCTTTTAAATATATATATCTATATATATCTATTAAAAAAAAGCCAAATGCTCTCCCCGGAGAAGACATCACCAAATAAGCATCCTGGTCCCTTAACGCCATGAAGGGAAAGGCAGGCGGGTAGGTTGCTGTCTGCGGGCTTGCGGGCTTGGGTTGGGGGGTCCGCTTCCCCTGCGGCTTCGTCCCGTTCCCCCCTCCCCTCCCGCAAAGCTATAGGGATGCGACGGGGGGTGGGGGCTGCTTCCTTGATGGTGGGGCGCTGTGCGGTATCTGGAGAAAGGCGAAGAGGTGCTTTTTTGGGTGGGAAAGGGGGGGGGAAGGAGGAAGCTTGTAGGGGTGGAGAAATGCTGGCGCAGTGGCGGCCACCCGCAAAAGAGGCCTCGGTCCTTCGGCTTGGTCCGGGGACATCCGGGTGGGCACCTTACCTGGGACTAGAATAATGCAGCTGCTCTGCACCTTTCCAAGGAGAAAGTGAGGAAGCTGAGAGCTCCCCCAGCAAAGATATTCCTGTTCAGGGACAAAATAAAGCTGGGTCTTCCCGAAGCCTCAGATTCAGAGCTCTAAAAGGATGGTGTTATGTGGTGGGGGGGGGGGGAAAGGAATTTGATTAGATTTGTTCAGCACACTACTCCACAAACCACGATTAAGAAATGTAAACCTCGAAGGTTTGAGTTTGCAGGTCATAGTTAGCATAGTTAGCGTTTTATTGGGATCAGTTCACTGGTCAGTTTGAGACATACAGATAGCAATAGCACTTAGACTTATATACCGCTTCACAGTGCTTTACGGCCCTCTCCAAGCGGTTTTTACAGGGTCAGCATATGGACCCCAACAATCTGGGTCCTCATTTTACTGACCTCAGAAGGATGGAAAGCTGAGTCAACCTTGAGCCAGTCAGGATTGAACTGCTGGCAGTTGGCAAAATTAGCCTGCAGTACAGGTAGTCCTTGACCTACGACCACAATTTCTGTTGTTAAGTGAGACATTTGTTAAATAGTTTTGCCCCGTGTTACGACCTTTCTTGCATAGTTGTTAAGTGAATCGCTGCAGTTGATAAGTTAGTAACCCGGTTCTTAAGTGAATCTGGTTTCCCCATTGACGTTGCTTATCAGAAGGTCACAAAAGGTGATCAGATGATCTTGGGAGACAGCAACGGTCATATTTTGATCACATGATTGTGGGGATGCTGGAAAGGTCATAACTGAAAAACAGTTATAAGTCACTTTTTTCAGTGCCATTGTAACTTTGAGCAGTCACTAAATGAACTGTTGTAAGCTGAGGACTTCCTGTACTGTGTTCTAACCTCTGGGCCACCACAACTCTTGTGGTGGACTAGTTTGTGTTGAACAGAATCTCCTTAACATTTAAGAATCCTGCAAGGACTTTGTTAGGTTTGATGGGCTGCCATGAGATTCTTAGATGAGGTGTCACCTGGGGTGACCACCATTAATTGTGGTGGTAGCAGATGATACTCAGTCAGCAACTCAGCTCTTACTCCTATTACTGACTGAAATCTTATTTGTGCCTCTCTCCATTGATTCCTTCAAACTACAATTTTAGAAGGCCTAACACTTCTGAATATTAATTTTCAATATCAATACTTTAATCACATTAAATCATATGAAATCTGCTTAGTTTTAATTAATTGTGATGTGCAAACTCAAAGCTTAGAGGTTTACATTTAACCATTGTCTGTGGGGCAGTGTGCTGAACAAATTCAATCAATTATTACTTATTCAGTAAATCACAGTTAAGCAGTGCATGAAACCAATCAATCTCCCCCATGCCAGTTTATATAGCCCAGTGGTTTAAAAATACATTCAGTGTAAGGTAAATATTTGTGTTAATTACTCACCAGTATGTTGAAATCTTAGGTACAACAATTTGTAAATAAACTCAAGATTAGCTTTTGAATGATATAGGTTGTGCTGCAAAATATCAGAGCATTTCTGCATAATATAACTATAAAAGCATTAAGACAAGGAACACATTTTTAAAAAACAAAGATGTAATTTAGCCAGGGGATAGGTTATAATTGTATTATAGAGTGAAGCTTTTGGTTAAAAACTTTGATGGTTAAGTATGCTTCAAACTATGCTAGTTTCATACCAGTTAACTAGCAAGATTTTCTTTAGAGTACATCAGCAACTGTAGTTTGGTGTGATGTTGAGAACAGAGATATAGGTAGTCCTCGACTTACGACCATAATTGACCCCAGAATTTGTATTGCTAAGTGAGAAATTTGCTAAGTGAGTTTTGTCCCATTTTATGATTTTTCTTGCCACATTTGTTAAATGTATTATTGCAGTTGTTAAATTAGTAATATGGTGGTTAAGTGAATCTGGTTCCCAGTTGACTTTACTTGTCAGAAGGTTGCAGAAGATGGGCACATGACCCCGGGACACTGTAACAATCATAAATATGAACCAGTTGTCAAGCATCCAAATATAAATCAGTGTGAAAAATGGTCATAACGCACTTTTTTCAGTGCCATTGTAACTTCAAACAGTCATTAACAGAATAACAAAATAACAGAATGATGGAGTTGGAAGGGACCTTGGAGGTCTTCCAGTTCAATCCCCTGCTCAGGCAGGGAGCTCTACACCATTTCAGACAAATGGTTGTCAATCTCTTCTTAAAAAATTCCAGTGTTGGAGCACTCACAACTTTTGGAAGCAGGTTGTTCCACTGATTAATTGTTCTAACTGTCAGGAAATTTCTTCTTAGTTCCAAATTGCTTCTCTCCTTGATTAGTTTCATTGCTTCTTGTCCTGCCTTCAGGTGCTTTGGAGAATAGCTTGACTCCCTCATCTTTGTGGCAACCCCTGAGATATTGAAACACTGCTGTCATGTCCTTCTCTTCGTTAGACTAGACATACCCAATTCCAGCATTCCGTTCCTTATATGTTTTAGCCTCCAGTCCCCTAATCATCTTTGTTGCTCTTCTCTGCACTCTTTCTAGAGTCCCAACATCTAACATCCAAACATACAAAACTGGATGCAGTATTCCAAGCATGATCTTACTGAGATATTATAAAGTGGTATTTAATGGAAATTAAATGTGAAGGCCGTTCCCAATCGATGTTGATAGAGAGTGGTGCTCTCTAAGAGCATACTGCAGGGCTTGGTATTCTCTCCACTGTTTAATATCTACATGAAGCCGCTGGGTGAGATCATTCATCATCATGGGTTGAAATATTATCAATATGCTGATGATACTCAACTTTACATCTCCACATCTGGTGACCGAGTGATGCTGTCTCTACCCTCTCATGGTGGGTGGTGGCTGTAGGGGCCTGGATGGGAGCCTGTGGGCTATAACTGAACTCTGGCAAAACCAAGTAGCTTTGGGTGCATGGAATTTCAAGATCTGGTCTGACATGTTTAGTTCTGGATGGGGTTGCACTACCATGTTCAGACCCAGTTCACAACTTAGGAGCTCTCTGGACTCACAACTCCTGCTCGAAAATCAGATGGCAGGCATGACTATAGGAGAGCCTTTGCACAGCTTTGGTTTATGCACCAACTGTGGCCTTTCCTTGATCAGGACTCCCTGCACTTGGTCATTCAAGCCCTAGTCTTGTCTGGATTACCGCAGTGCGCTTTACATGGGGCTACCCTTGAAATGCATTTGGAAGTTTCAGCTGGTACAAAGTGCGTCAGCACAAACAGTGTTTTGGGGGGGGGCATAGAATGATCCATGTTACACCACTGCTTTGCAAGCAGCACTGGCTGCCAGTTTGCTTCTGGGTGCAGTTCAAGGTGTTGGTTATGACCTTTACAGCCCTCCATGGCATAGGTCCTGACTACCTGATGAACCCACTCGTCCTGCTAAGACAAGCCTGCCCTACTCATGCTGACAGAGGAGGCCTCTTGAGGATCTCTGACTGGAGGGATCCAGGAGAAGAGCCTTCTCTGCTGTAGCTCCAGCTCTCTGGAGCATCCTGCCCCTGGAGTAAGTTTTGCCCCCACCTCCTAACACTCTGCAAGGGCCTGAAGACTTGGCTCTGACAGTTGGCCTGGGACCCAATAGGGGAGTATATCACTGGAGGCGGGATTGCTAGACTAATTTGCTGGTCCCATCTTCCCCTCTGTGCTTCCTGTTCCCCCTCCACTCATCTTTTTAATTTCATATTACTGTACTTGCACTGTTTATTTTTATTGTTTCATTCCTTTCTATTATTGTTACATTTTTTATCATTTTGTTTTTTGTTTTATTGTTGTAAGCTGCCCAGAGTAGCCCCATGGCAAGATGGGTGGCAAATAAATTTAACAAATATCTCAAGATCTTCCTTTCCAATTATAGGTTGTAACTAACCTGAAGCTGGGCAATGGTCTCTCTGGGTATAGCTTCCTTGTGCTGCTCCAGTAGTTGTTGCAAGTCCAGAAGGACTACTTGATCATGGACTAATTTCTTCAAGAAGACTATAGCTTCATTTAAAGCAGTCAGTAGATCTGTTGGTCATGAGTTGCCTAGAAGCTTATGATCACCAGCAACTTCATCTTGGTACAGTTTAATCTGAGGTTATTTCTTGTTATTCATTCCTAATGGACTCCAGATACCAGCTCTTACCTTCCACGGCATCCTATATTGGTGGTACGATACATGTGCTTCACAGAACTATAGAGATGGAAAGAGCCATTAAGCATCACCTCTTGTCCTATACAAGCATGCTAACTGAAGTATCCCCAACAGATAATTGTTTACTGTCAAGCGGAATACAGTACAGCCAGCAAAGGGAGCACCGTACCCAATGGTGTCCGTGACATGCAGTAAAGAAAGTCAAGATGGTGGTTATAATGGCAACATGGTCCCATCTTTTTTGTACATGCATACAAAAAACTAGGGTTTCAGCTGCACTCCTGCGATCGTCATGTTTACTTTTTTTACTCCCACTCTGGATTCATGGACATCATTGCCACTCATTCTCCTGGTAATTAGCATCTTTCTGAGTAATTAGTTCGATTGTTAAAATGTTCTCTGTGTCTGGGAGCTTTTGCTAAGATAAGTGGAATCTATCTTTTTTGTAGTATTCTTTATTACAAGTAGTCCTTGACTTACGACCAAAGTGGAGCCCAGAACCAGGATGATATGACATGGTAGTCATTTAAGTGAGGTG